TTCGTCGGCGGGTTTCAGGGTTTTTCCGACGGTTTTACTAAAATTTTTCGCAGTCTCATAATATTTCGGTGAGGCTTCCATGTAAAAAGTCGATCGTCCCGTGCCGTACCTTAACGTATCCGTTTGATTATTGTAATTTTGTGATGTTATGGGTAACTTTTGTGGTAGGATCGTAGCTCTGGGTAAAGATGGCGAATTAATACTGTTTCCTAGCTCCTGCAAAATCATATGACCGATAATATGTTTATAAAAATTGGAAAATTAACGTTGATAAATTTCATTGCAATTATTAAATGACTTGGTACTCGCCTCCTGTCTCTGTTTTTCATAGCACGACGTGCACAAATAAGAGGTTAACACGGTACCATACATGTTGCAACCTTGCGTGATACAATTTTTCGGTCCCTCGAGCTTGGCTTGTTCTTGCAGTCTTTCATCTTCCATATTGGAATTATCTTCGATTATTTTTTGTTTTAATCTTTTATCTCTTTCAAATCTAATAAATAATTTAAAATTAACTTTTTTTATAGTTTTTTAAAAACTTACATTCCTTACTAAATAATATTAGTAATAAAAGAAAATAAATAAAAAAAAAACATACACAATACACTCAGAGAGAGAGAGAGAGAGAAAATAATTTTTTTTTTTTTATCAATTACCTATCTCTTGCAGTATTTAAATAATTTTTAATCATTTCCTCTTGGTACTCGTGCCTTTCTTCGGTATGTAAACGAGCACTTAAAATAAAATCTTGATTTTTAACATCGTCGACATTTGATCTTACTCTCGTCAAATTATCCTTTTTCTGAGAATTATTCCTCGCCATTTTAGATCCGATGGTTTCTAAATTTTTTTTCAACTTTTTCGACATGGATTTACCTATAATGTTAAATATTAATAATAATGGGGAAAAACATAAACTCAAAATGTCAGAAATACAAAATTTTTAAGAGAAAATACCTATGCTGCCAAAATGTTTTGCAACATTTTGAAGTCTACTTTTGTTCGATACGAAAAGTCCAGCATCGGAAATGCCGCCATTATTTTCATCCAGGTCAAAATCCGTTATTTCGTAAAATCTTTTTTCAATATCTTCTTCATCGCAGGGAGTTTCCGGTTCTAATTCAAATTCTCCATCGTCTAAGAACGAATAAATAATCGAATTTAAAAAAAAAAAGTATTCGAATGGAAAAAATTATTTTCCCGAATGAAAAATTAAATTTACCCGAAATCGGGGATAGTGAAATAGGCACATTTACGACATTTAAATATTCTCTCAATAACGACAGCAATTCTTTTGTTCCGACAGTTAATTTATCATTTACGTATGTTGCACTTTTATCATTCCAAGAAAAAAAATCTTCGCCGGGATCCACGCTAAACTGAACGGGAAGAAGTTTATGCCGACTATCTGTCAATGGTATGACCGCTGAAAATGAGATAATGACTAAAAAGTCATTTCCCGGATTATTTAACTCAAAATTTTTTTACCCATACTCCTGAAATAACGTACCGGGAGGTTGAGGAGATTTATCAGCAAAAATTTCTTTGTCCATAACTACTAAAGCTGAAAAATGAGCTGCATCATAAGTTAAAACTAAAGGGGACTTGTGACATTCTGAAGATGGAATTTCCAAGGGTAAATAAATTCCTCCGAACAAAATAGGAGCCAGAGCTTCCCCGTTGACGTCCTGAATAAAAATATAATAATAACTAAAGTTTTAATTTATCCAAGTTATTATCTTTAATTAAAAATAAAGAAAAAAAAAAAGGATAAATAGATACCTTTAGCATTGTATCGGCGATCACAATTATTGGTCGTTTGAGAACGTGAGATAGTGCCAAAACATGGATTTCTTCTAAACTTTCATAAGTTGCATTTTCAGATATATCCTTATTAAATTTGTCTATAATTATACTCCTTCTTCTACTGCTACTAAAAAAGTTAATTGGAACATATTGTAAATTTATTTACAAAAAATTCGAAAAAATGTCATTTATAAGACAAACGACTAATAAATTTTACCTGTTTCTCGGTTGACTACTAGCCATGCTGACAATTGAATTCCATTCTTTTCTCCATTCTTCTTCTGTGTATACTAAACCAGCTTCGGCATTAAGTCGAGTTAATTGCCATCTCCATCGCCTCCATAATGCATCTCTGCAATCGGAAGTTGTTAAAAATTCATACAAGGCTTTTCTTAATGTTAAAAGCCTATCGTGAAAACCCCACATTCCTAAAAATAAAAAAGATGTTAAGGTTTACTGTTTGTTTTATTTGACAAAAAAAAAATATTTCCAAGGATTTACCTAAAGAGGCAGCATGTAACAGACAATTTCCATCCCCTGTTGTTGCCAAAGGCCAAAGCCTTTGACAAGCTCCATTGTTTGCCCACCAATTTAATTTACCAGCTTGTTCCAATGAGATTAAACTCGATATTTCTATAAGATCTTTTTCTAAAAATTGCCTGAAATCATCTGGAAAAAAATTTTTAAAAAAAATATTATTTTAATTTTAAAAAATAATTTAGTCTACTTATGAAAAAATACCTGGAAATATTGACAGATCAGGTAATGTAAATGTAAAAACAGGAGTTTCTATGAAATGTTTGTTAACATTACACACTCCATTTTCTCGAAAATCTAATCCTAATTCGGAACGAGCTTTATTAACCAAATTTACATTATCTGTAGCCCTAGATATTCCTCTGGATAATTTCTTACCTGAAATTTAAAAAGGAAAAATATACAAATCTGTACCATCTAAAACAATTTTAAGAATTTTGTATGTACATGATTACATAAAAGTACTAGACTTACAACATGAGTCAGTCACATCTATAGAATCAGATTTGTTAAAACACTTATTTTGGTTTCCATCTTTATTCGAATTTAAATATTCTTGAATGGCAAGCTTTAAATCCCAATTTTTAGCTGAAATAAATATTTAAATATTTAAAAGTTTCACAAAAACTAAATAAATATTGATTTATCATTAAAACAAAAAATAAAATAAATCGTATAACATTTTATTTTTTGTTATACATTGTACAAATTTTACCTTGCAAAAAATTGTGAGCTTCTATAGTAGACACTCCAGTTTTACTGACAAATTCAGAAACAAGATTAGATTCCATATTTACACCTAATACTAATAATAGAAAAATAAACTGAAAGTAAAACAATAATCATTCACAATTATTTATAACTGTCACTTTTTCAAATAAAAATTAACTAAAAAAACTATTTTACAATTATAATTTTTAGTGATGAATTGAAAAAAAGAGTTTGAAAACAGTAAATTATTACAAAAATAAAAATAATGTGTAAAAATATATAAATTTTAATACAACAAAGGCTATATAAAAAAATATTCAATAGTATAAATAAAAAAATTTTAATTATCAAGGCCATTAAAAACTTATACAAAGTTGTACTTAACAAAAAAAAAAAAAATTAAATGTAAAGTGATGAAAATGAAAAAAACTTTGTAGAAAATTTTAAAAAAATTAACGTAATGAAATTAAACAATTAATCAAATACAATTACTTGTTAGCTAATTTTTTATTGTTTTCAATAATTCTACAGGAAGTTCATCATCAATGTCATTAAAAATATTCAAGCTAAGCTCAATTATAAGGTTATTATCACAAATGAAAATTATTTCTTTGTTATTATAATTTTATTAATTTCGTTTTAATTCGACCATTTAAAAATATTTTTTTAATTTTTTTTTTACTAATTCTAAGCGCTATTACAAGTAGGCGTACCCGTTTACAAAAAAAAAAAAAAAACTATGAATGAACACAAACAAAAACAAAAAAGTTCTAATTAAAAAGAAAAAAATTAAGAGACAAAAGAAATTGACAAACCTTATTACGTAGGTAAAAATTATCAACAATTAATAAAATATTTAAAACATAACAATCTCGATTTACATTATATATATATTTATTAAAAATATTTATTTAAAATTAATACTGTTAATAATAATTAGACGACATTTATAATACTGTCAAAAAAAAAAATTAAGCGCGGCAAACGAGGTTTTTTTTTATATAACGACAGCAAATTCGTATTGTTTACTTTTTAAATATTACCGAGCAAAAGCCTATTGAGTAAATATTTACATTCTTATCGTAAAATGAGCAATTAAAATCTATTTAATAAATAAATATATTCTAATTAATTAAAACTTTTAAGTGTGCTATAAGTAAAATTTATAATTTGATTAAGAGAAAAAAATTAATTTTATAAATTATCTTGTGTTTTATAAATAATTTAAAAATAATATAATACTTAAATATTAATACTGTTTTTAATTTTGTATACATGTATCAATGAAATTTAAAATGAAAGCTAGTATTTTCAAAATATTAAAATTTGTTTAATTAAATCTAGAAGAATACTATTATAAGTCAAAACATTAGTTTTGAATGTTCGATAAGTACTTGTAATGTAAAAAATTACTCGAATGTGTACTCGAGTACAAAAACCTTAACATTAATAATAAAAAGTTTTGAATCTTAAAATTATTACATGTTTATACATAAAATTAATAAATGTATTATTTATTTCACATCCTTTAAAACAAACAAATCAAAAAAATCTGTGAAAAATAAAAATAAATCAAGTAATTAAAAAAAAAATTTGATGTTCCTAATTGCTTTTTAATTTAAATTTTCGTTAAAATAATTTAAATATCTCCAAAATATTTATATAATAATAAATAAAATGTGAATGATGTTAAAAATTTTATATATTATTTTTTTAATTGATTTTTTTAATTACAAGTTAAAACAAATTAAAAAACATTAAATGAAAAAATTTTTCATACGAATACAAAAGAAAAAATATCACGATTTAATTCCAAATCAATTTTCTTTCTCAAAATTCTTCATTACAAACAAACCAAAACAATTTTTTTATATTTTAAATTAAATAAATATTAATTTATATTAATATTAGTATTGTAATTTGAAAAATTTTAACAAATTTAATTATTAATAAATTAATTTATTTTTTTTTTTTGTTTAAATGGAAGCTCTTTTTCGTTTACAAAAAAAAATTTTTAAATGTTTTTAAATATAAAGCATTCAAAACAAAAAAAAATAAATTTCTTTAAATAATAATAATAATAGTAAAATTCTACATTCCCTATAATTATTTAAACTCCCCCTCCTCCATCAAAAAAATATTAATAATAATAATAATTTGTAAAAATACTTCCTTAAAACTTTTTTTTTAATTAATTTTATTTTATCACGACATATCTAATGACAAAAGTTTTGTTTTTTAAACAAAAACCTAAAAAAAAAAAAATTACATTAAATAAAAAATAAAAATAAAAAATAAAAAATACCAACCGAATAAATAATTATACAACCCTTAAAATTACAAAAAAAAAAAAAAAAATTCGTTATCAGTTAAAAAACTACCCCCCCCATTCGACGGGTGGGGGGGTAAGTTTTTACTTTACATATCACCATAAAAATTTTTTTTTTTAAAATTCTAAATCGACTATTTAAATAAAAAAAAATATTAATATTAATATTATTATTATTATTAAATAATAAATATTAAATTAAATACAATAAAAATTCATTTAACTTATATTATTAAATAGTAACCGTAAAAAAAAAAAAATTAATAATAATAATAACCCTTAATAACCTATACAATATATTATTAATCAATTAATTAAATTAATTAAATTTGTGACGATATAAAGCCATTTTTTTTTTTTTTGTTAAATTAGTAGTATTATTATCATTTAATAAAAATAAATTATAATTTTTTTTTTTTAATAAATAAATACTTTGTCAATTTAATTAATTAAATTTTAATAATAATTACAGGAATTATAATTAATTTCGTATAACCTGAGTCTTTCCCCAAACTAAACGACTAATTTTTTTTTTTTTACCTCAACCTCAATTTTAAAATTAACAATAAAATCCCCCCTCCTGCCTCCCCACCCCCCAGAAAATTACGGATTAAATATAAGCATTAGTTAGTACGTCATAAGCGTTTACGATCAATTTTCTCAACAACATCAATTGTAACGTGAAAAAAAAAAAAAAAAAATTTATTTTCTAAAAAATCCTCCATTTTTCTTTAAATCTATACGAAAATTATTATTATTATTATTATTACAATTCATTTCATTGAATTTATTTTATTTTAAAATTAATCATTCGACTGTTTCATTTAACATTTTTTTTGATATGAATTAGTATCGAAACCGGTTTGAGATTGATAATTTTTTACAGGTCGACCACACACACCCTGAGATTCTTCGGTATATAATTTATTTACATTTATTTTATTATCCCATAAACTGCAAAGTGCCGCACCTATGCTGGGTTCTATTTCCTGAAAAAAAAAAAAATTTAATTTTTCACTTCCGGTCAAAACAAAATTTCACTCCTTCTTCATCATCACATACCTGTCCATCTCTGCTAGATTGAACTCTTCTATTTTCGTTTAATGGATTAAATAAATGACGAGTTGCTTGAAATGGTAAATTTCCTCTTTTCAACCATTGCAAAGGCATTTGATTACAACTCACGACTGGACCATCCGTCATATTGACTAATTTGGCAATCCCTTGAAAATTACCAGATCCCTGAACGCTAAAAATAAGGAAAACTTCTTTGCTTTCCTAACACACACACAAAAAAAAAAAAAAATTTAAATTTTGGTTTGTTTTTAAAACTAAAATCCCCAAAAATTACAATTATTACCTTCAAAGCTCGATTTATTCTTCTTTCGGTATTTGGAGCAAAATTCCAAGTTTCTTTCGTGATTGAATTATCAAAAGCTTTCAAACTGTGAACTTTTATGACAAAATATCTGCTTTTGCTTATATTTCCCGCCGTTAAATAATTCATATTTTGTAAAGTTTCACAACCTTCTAGAAAAATCAATAATTTAAAATATTACTATTCCTCCCTGATAATAATAATAATAATAATAATAATAATAAAATTGTAATGAGTACCGGGAGGAGAAGAAGTATTACAACTTCCCGGAGTTTCTCTTCCCACTTGTTTCTTAACATTTTTTTTTTCAACGTTTACGTGAACGGGATTCGCGGGAGAGGAAGAAAAAAAATCATCGTCTTTAACGTGTTCCAAATTACACGGTCTCGGCCTTTGACCCACTCCCTGGGGTTGGGTTAAATTCAATGCTTGTTCTTCCGCGGATAAAACGCTAATCACAGTTTTCACGACAATGTCATCAAACTGAAATAAATTTATTATCATAATCGAATTTCGCAAAATTTTTTCTTTTTAATAAATTTCCTTTAAATGTAAAATTAAAAAAAAAAAAGAATACCTACTGGCAAACCCGGTCTTCCAGGCGTTCTCATTTTTCTCAAAAATAACGAGTGCCATTTTTGACGTAATTGTAATACCAATTGAGCAGCTTCCGAATCAATTTTAAACAATACCCAATCGTCGATTTTTAAACTCGATCGATTTCCTTCCGTTTTTTCTTCTACTTCCGAATCGCTATCCACGTCTACGATACCATTCGGTTGATATGCTGTCGATAAAACTTGTTTTTATTCCAAAATTTCTTTTTTTTTTTTTTTTTTTCAAATATTGTACCTGATGGCTTTTTTAAAACGAACCTTCCGCTTCGCAAACGCTTTCCAAAGGCAATCGTGACGGACCGCTAAAAATTGCTATCGTTAATGGTGAAACAACGGTGCATCTTTTCAAATGACAATAACGACCGTATCTTTCCAATTCTTCGTATATTATCCAATCCGAGGGTAAATTTTCAATTGTTTTCAAAGACACTTGAGCCAAACTAATTTCATTATTATTATTATTATTATTATTGGAAACTTTTCGTAGAGCCGAAGACGTGTGAATATTAACTTTACATTCTTTTCTGGAAATCAAATGCAATCGATTGAAGTTTTTTTTTTTTTTTTTTTTTTAAGTTCATTCATTAAATACAAATATATTTACCTAGTCCTAAGTACACCTTGTTCTCTGTCGACTCGAGCTAAATTCGGATACAAACCAGCACATAAAGCTGCTTTCACAGCTGCCCAATTTTCACTGTTGGCATTTAAGTCTCTAATATCACCGGGTGCTCTCGACCTCACGAAACCGGATGCACGCAATTGAGCAAGAAGTTGAGTTCGAATACCCATAATCATTTCCATTGTTGCCGAAGATATGAAATTTTTTTGACAAAAACTTTTCTCCCATCCGTTGCTTCGAGCTTGTTGCCAACCCTAATATAATTTTAAAACAGATTAATATTTCTCTAAAAAGGAATTCGATAAAAATTTTTTTTTTAAAAAATCATCACCTGAAATGCCCTTAGCAGCACCATGTGATCGCTAAAAGTTCCAGCGGCGAATTTTTGCCTGACTAAATTCAATTCTTGTTTTTGTGAAGACCGAAGGGGCAAAACAAACGGATCATTGTACGCCAAACAACAAACAATTGTTAAAACCGGATCTAAACATTTTAATATGCATCCGTATAGTAATATTTTACCGAGGCGAGGTTCTACGGGAAGATCTAATAAATGAATGCCTGGTGTAAAAAAAAAAAAAAAAAAAAAAAAAAAAAAAAAAAACAATTATTGTTAATTCGTCATTGGATAAAATTTAACAACTAATTTTATTTCCTTACCCAGCTCTGTTAAGTCTTCCCAAGAATCCAGGGCTTCAATTGTTTTAAGATGTTGCACAGAACTTCTTGTCACTGTAAAAGGAGGTGGCTCGATTGCTTTTGATAAAAATTCAGCTATGGGTGTATTAGCTGGAGCTAAAAGTTTTGAATGAAGACACAGTTCCTAAAGCGCAAAATTTCATATGATGCCTTTAATGTTAATTTTTAAAAAAAAAAAAAAAGTGACAATTTTTTTAAAATTCAAATTTTACTTGAAGTGAAAGTCTTAACATTGCTGGAGTCTGTTGAGGTTCCATGGCCTTATATCTTATCGACGAAAATAAGCGATAACACACACCGGGTTGCGTTCTACCCGCTCTTCCTTTTCTCTGCTCAGCGCAATATTGAGAGATCCAAATTTTATTGAGTCCCGATACATTAGTTAATGGATCATGGCATTTCTAAAATAATAATATTTAAAATACAATACTTTTGCACGTGGAAAAACAAAAAGAAAAATTAAAAAAAAATTTTTTTGTAAAATACGAACTTCTTTCATTTTTCCAGAATCAATTACGTACGCGACATCATCAATATTTAAACTTGTTTCAGCAATGTTTGTAGCCAATATTATTTTCCTCACGTTGTGTGGCGTCTGTTTGAAAACTTTTCTTTGATCTCCCGTTTGCATTTTAGAATGTAAAGTATACACTACGTATTTCATGTGACCGAAAAATTTCGCATCTTCACTAGCAATCCTTTCTTTGACAGCCGTGATATCGTCGTATCCCGCTAAAAAAACTAATATTGCACCTAAAAAAAAAAAAAAATTATTTTTACAAAAAAAAAAAAAAAAAAAAAACATTTTAATAGAAGGAAAAAGAAAATTTTTTTAAAACTAACCCTTTGGCTGAGTACAATGAACTTGAATTAATAAACTCATTAATAAATTTATATCGATATCATCATCGTTAAAACTTGAATGATAAATATCCAGCAATTCTTTGTCTTCTTCACTCAAAGATGTTTCTTTCGATATTAACACAGCTTCATTTATTTGAGCAATGTTCTGAAAAAAAAAAAAAAAAAATTGTTTAATTATAAAAAAGGATTATTAAATAAAAAAAAGGGAACCCCTGTATTATTTACTTTTTCGCTGTAACTTTGTATTAAATCAGCAGCCTCTTTATGACCAAGCATAACGGTCCAATCAAAAGCTGTTTTATCATTTGATGCCTTAATAGACATATCTGCGCCTAATAAAAGAAGCTGTTCAATAGTATTCAATGAATTTCTAGCAGCTGCTACCATTAAAGGAGTCATACCAGTCTTTGAATGCTTTTAAAAAAATAAAAATAAAAAAAAACAAAACATTAGAGACATTTCTTTTTTAATTATCAAAACACTTAATTTATAACCTATAAAAAATCACCTGATAATCTACTGAAACATGTTCTGATAGTATTAAATGAAGAAGTTGGGTCATTTTATCATCTAAACCAGTTAAAAAAGCTTCTTCTATTGTTATATCCATGACTTCGTTAACCGATGAATCAGCATCTTCCTTTTTAATCACATTATTTTTATCTAAAAATGGCGTTTATCGAATCACCAATAATATGATTTATGAAGTAAATCGTTTAAAAAATTTACATACCTAAAATAGGATTGGGAGAAACATTTTCTTTATCAGTCTTACATTCGCTATTAATTAAAGCTTCCCATTTTTGTAATTTTTCCTTTTGTAATTTTTTACTCATGAGTTCTTGTTTAATCTTCAACATTGGCTTGCTCATGTATCTAGTTCTAAAATATTTAAATTTATTTTATAATAATATTTCATTTTTATAAATAAATTTACAAAAAATAAAACCTAGTCTGTACTAACAATTTGAGAACATCTTCCAAAAAATATTCCTTTACCGGAAACATTCTACCAGGTACTGAAACTACAGGACAATTCATAAAATACTTTGAAAACATATCAGAATCTAATGTTGCTGACATAAGTATTAAATGGAGATTCCTGAATTTAGAAAGTAAATCACGTAAAACAATTAAAAGGAAATCACAGAATTTATCTCGCTCTTGAACTTCATCAATTATAATATGAGAAATATTGGCAACAGATGTTTCTCCAAACATTAGTGTACGTAATAGGACGCCACTTGTGCAAAAAGTCAATACAGTCATTGGAGAAATTCTAAAAAAAAAAAAAAAATTATGTTTTTATTAATGATAATAATAAATTATTAATTTTTTAATGATGCTCTTTGCATACCTGCTTTCTAATCTTATTTGATAGCCTACAGAATGTCCCATTTTTTCATTCCTTTCAAGACAAACTCTTTCGCATACATTGACAACAGCTATTCTTCTCGGCTCTACGACTACAATTCTACATCGTTTATTTAATGATCTATAATGCTCTAATATAAACTGAGGAACCTAATTTTTTTAAAATTGATGAAAAAATTAAACTTTTGTATAAAATTAATTTAAAAATTTTAAAAATTAGTTTTTTTTATACCTGGGTAGTTTTACCAGAACCTGTTTCACCCTGTATAATACAAACTTGATGATTATTAATAGTTCTAATAATTTCATCTTTATGAGACCAAATAGGCAATGTTTGTCTAAATGCTTGCAATATAGGATTAGAACCTGGGGCTGGAGGAACTTGTATCATACCAGCTGGCAAACGACCAAGGGGTTTATTAAGTTCTCTCACTAAAATGGACATTGTAACACATTTTAAAATAATTTCACTATCCCTGTTACAAATTATTAACAAATATAATTTATCATTTTTAATTTAAAAAAGTGATTTTTTATAATTCCCAAACTTACAATCATGATTAATTCTATCCCTTTCCGTCTGAGGCAACAAATCTTGCCTTTCTCTGCTAGACAACGGGAACTTGGTAAGTAAATTATATATCATTTGCCTGCCTACTCTATTTAACTGAAATTTTGCATCTGCTTGAACTATGGTGGATCCTTCACGTTTATAAACTGTAAGAACTCTATTGGTTTTCTTTCTGCAAAAGTAATTAAAAAATTTTTTAAAAGTGCAATTCTATAAAATATATTTAATTTTTTTTTTTTAATAAAAAACTTGCCCTCTAGTTTTAGACCGCAAACCAAGTTTAGCTGCCAGGCCATGAATGTAAGCTCTTTCATAGGCAGCTAGGGAAGAAGGAAATTCTATTTCTAAAAATGCAAATAAAAAAAATTCATAAAAAAAATTTATCAAAGTAAATTAAGATTTAAGAATAAATATGTAAACTAAAGTAATTATGAGAAGTTGCTCATCACTTAAACTTTTTTTTTGAAAAAAAATCTGTTTTAATTAACAGTTTATAAAATTAAACATTTTATGACAAAGTACATCTTTAGACTTCAAAAAAAAAAAAAAAAAAATGAGAATTACTATTAAAAAAAAGCAAATGGTAACAAAATTTACATTACTCAAATAAGGTCTTTTATAAAAAATTATTTCCCAATACCTGTTTGTTCTGAAGATGAAAAATTTCTAAGAGCCACATCTACTGCTATACGAACATGTTCACTAACCAAACCGACATTATTATTATTTTTCTTTTTCGGCATTGTTTCTTTAAATTATATATATATAAAACAACAAATTACAAGATATGCACACATTTAAAACCTACGAGTTACCATTTCCACAAAAAAAAAAAAAAAAAACGCCGTCAACAATTTTTCCTAATGCCACGGCAATATCGTACGAATCTAAAAAAAAAAAAAAAAAAAAAAAAAAAAAAAAAAAAAACAAATAAGTTAAATAAGTTTTTGGCAAAAGACACCTGTTATGTATTTTCATCTATTTAAATATCAATACATAATTTTTTTAAATAAAATAATTTCTTCATTAACCGAATTCCTAAAAAAATTTAAAAGGGTATTTCATAGACTTTTCTAGATGTCAACGAACTTTAAATCATCCCGATTTTTAAATATATATATATTTAACTCGTAAATGTCAAACTAAATTATGTATTTTAAAATTTACAATTTTATAAAACGTTTTAAAATTTAAATTTGTCACACTACATTTATATTAAATTTTTTATTATTATTATTATTTCCTCGAACAAATAGAAAACATTTTTTTTTTTTTTTCATTCAGTTACGAAATTTTAAGTTTAAACATAAAAATGGCGACAAAGCACTACTTTGTATTACATAGATACATTAATAATTTTTCATTAAAATCTACTAATTTTTTCCCGTTAATCTAAAAAAAAAAATAAATAAATAAAATATATCAATTAAGCACAGTTTTAAAAATGAAATATAATTAAATTTTATTATTTATTTAAAAAAAAAAAAAAACACATATTTGTGTGGACTTACTCATATCCTACAAAAAAAGTAACGTAATTATTTTTATTAAAAAATTGTTAAAATATTAATTTATTATTAATTTAAAATAAAATTTTTTAATTAAACATACCATAAATTATTTTATTTCCTTCACACGATTCCTTTTATAAAATTCCTTTATAAATTAAAACGTTTTTTTTTTATACATTAAAAAAATTAAATTTTCCGCCATTTCGTTTCTTGTTCGAAAAAAAAAAAAAAAACCGAATAAACATGACGGAGATGACCGGAAAATGCCGAAAAACTTACGAGACGAAACTCAGCTCCTGCATTTGCGGGTTCTAGACATTTGTACCAATTTCGGTTAAAATGTCGAAAAATAAATTAAATTTAACGTTACCACCCGGCTCCGTAGGAAATTCTATAAATTCATCCGGAGTTCATCAAACGGATCAAAATAATCCTTTTGAGTAAGTGAAGTTTTTTTTTTTTTTTTTATATAATTTAATCACGACAATTTTCATATATATTTAGGATTAACACTTGTTGAGCAAGCCAAAAAAAAAATAATAATAATAATAAAATTAATTATTTTTTTATTATTTTTCATTTATTTAAATTTTGTTAAATGGTGTCGATGAACAAATATTACAATTAATAAATTAATTGAGTCAGCAACATTTTCTAAATAAAAAGTTTTTAGTGATTCATTGTTTTACCCTTAATAGAAAAGAATTTTTTTTTTTTGTCATCAAACTTATTGATTTTTGGATGCATCTCAAACGTTACTATAGTATTAATTCATCAGTTTTTTTCTTTTTAATTACAAAAATAATTATGAATTAGTAAAGAAAATACTTTGTACCTTATACTAAAACCTTTTAAAAATTAAAATGGTTTAAAAATTTTGACAAAAACTAATAAAAATCCTAAATGATTTATCATGAAAATAAAGTTTTTTTTTTTTTTTTATAAATTTTTACAGGAGGAGTCCATTAGTTAATAAAACTAGTATAGAAGTTCTTCAGGAACAATTAGAAGAATTAGGAATGGATGACACACAGAGAAAACGAATGGAATTTTTTTTATGTCAAAAAGAAAAAATTGGCGAATTGTCAGATGATGATTTTGAAAAATTAGGAGATTTAGGTTCGGGAAATGGCGGAGTTGTTGTTAAAGTTAGGCATCTATCTAGTGGACTGATTATGGCGAGAAAATTAATACATTTAGAAGTTAAACCTGCTATTAAAAAGCAGATAATTAGAGAATTAAAAGTTTTACACGAGTGCAATTTTGCTCATATTGTAGGTTTTTATGGAGCTTTTTATAGGTAACTATCTGTGCAATTATATTTTTTAAAATTGATTGAAAGTTAGTTATACGAAATAAAAATTTTATTTTTCCTATTTTAAATTAAACTAAAAACACATTTTTTTTCAGTGATGGTGAAATTAGCATTTGCATGGAATACATGGATGGTGGTTCTTTGGATTTAATATTAAAAAAAGCTGGAAGAATTCCTGAAGATATTCTGGGAAAAATTACAAGTGCAGTATTAAAAGGACTTAGTTACCTAAGAGATAAGCATGCTATCATGCATAGAGATGTTAAACCTAGTAATATTTTGGTCAATAGCGGGGGAGAAATAAAAATATGTGATTTTGGAGTTTCTGGTCAATTAATTGATTCAATGGCAAATTCATTTGTCGGTACAAGAAGTTATATGTCTGTAAGTAAAAATCAAAATTCAAATATCCCCCTTTTTTTTTTTTTTTGGCTGAAATTTATAATTTTTATTAATTTTATTAGCCTGAAAGATTGCAAGGAACCTATTATTCTGTTCAAAGTGATATATGGTCATTAGGGTTATCATTAGTTGAAATGGCTATTGGAATGTACCCTATACCACCACCGGATGCCAAAACATTAGCAGCCATTTTTGGACCTAAAAAAAATGACGAAGACTCATCTCATTCTCCCAGTCACAGTAATAATTTTTAAATACAATAAGTTATTATTAATTTTTTTGTTCCTTTCACGTAATTTCACATAAATTTAATTTTAGCAAATGGTCCGAAACCAATGGCGATTTTCGAACTTCTTGATTACATAGTTAATGAACCTCCTCCAAAACTTCCATCTGGAATTTTTTCAAACGAATTTAAAAATTTCGTCGATAGATGTTTAAAAAAAAATCCGGCGGAAAGAGCCGATTTAAAAACGTTAATGGTACGTTATTGATATTATTAGCTTTTGACAGGGTAGTAAAAAAAAAAAAAAAAAAAACTAAATATATTTACAACATTTCAGAATCACGAATGGATGAAAATAACGGATATGAAAACGGTTGATATTGCCGGATGGGTTTGCAGAACTATGGATTTATGTCCAACGAGTCCAACGAAAACAAATCAAACTTAAAAAGCCTGATTTATAATTACCTGATACATATATATATTAATAATTTTATATGGTAAAACAATTTTACCATTTTTATCAATATTTAAAATGGTATTGAATTATTCCGTAATTCATTTTTAAAAAAAAAAAAATATTTTTATTATGTAAATTCGAATGATTGATTGATAATTATAAGTGAGAGGAGTTATAAATTTTATGTCAATAATATTTGAGAAAAGATATTTTGATGAAATATTACGTAATCGTGTAATTTTTATTATACATCCATGTATATTCTTAAAACCGTTTTTTTCAATTTATTATTATTATTATTTATTTTTTTAAAATCAGGTTTTAGAGAGAGAGAGAGAGAGAGAGAGAAAAAAAAATGTTATTTTAATTTATATACATATATATATAGAAAAAGAAATTTTTAAAAAATTTAAAAAAAAAAAAAATATTTAAATTATTATATAAGGGATTTTTTTTTTTTCTGTAAAAAATGAAATTTTTTTTTTTTCGAAATCGAAAGTACAAAATCTTTCTTTATTAGACGTGGTGATTAGTTTTTTTTTTTTTTTTTTTTAAAAAAAAAGAGTTCTGTAATGTTATTTATTATTATTATAAATAAATAAATTTTCAATAAATAAAATACATACATTGCTCAAATTTGTTTAATTTTATTCCTATTTTAAATTTTTTTTTAAAGAATTCATAACAATAAGTATTGTTTGGGATTTTATATGTAAATAAAAACTATGAAATTTTCTACAGGGAATCCCCCAAGTTTTGCGGTTTGATTGATTAAAAATCAATAAAGATCAATACAATTAAAAAAAAAATCTGATTGTTTTTATCGTTGATTAATAATTTATGATAAATTTTATAAGTAAAATATGAATTAAGGGGATTTTACAACAATTTATCCGTTAAAAATTTAGAAATGTAATAACCGATAAATTATGTTCGTGTAAGGTATAAATTAATGCCTTTTCCATTTTGATGCCTTTTTTCTTAAAAAAAAAAAAAAAAAGGCATTTTGATTAGTAACGTTTTAATATAACATATGAGCTTACCAGTAAGTGTCCTAATTTTATTCTATGGTCACGTAGCAGAAGACAATACGAAAGCCATGTCGTCAGCAGTAAGCGGTTTAAAATGACAACGGAGAGTTTGCTTGAAATTGATTCTGATCAATTGTTTGAAAAACATACAATATCTGAAATTAAAATAATTCAAGGAAAAATACAAAATGAAATTGAAAAAAAGAAAGAAGAATTACGTATTATGGTTGGGTAAGAGAATTATATAGAGTATAAATTTAGGTTTTGAAAATTTTTTTTTGTTATATGTGGGAAAACCTTTTTGTTTTTCTTTAGAGAAAAATGTAGGGATTTGTTAAAAGCTGCTGATATAATTATAGAAATGCAAGACACATCTAAAAATATAATAAATGTTATTAATCAAACAAATTATTTATGTCAAAGTTTACAAGAAAAAAGACTTTTGGGATTTAGGCAACCTGTAAACAAAACAACTACAACGTAAGTTATTTTATTTCACTTTTTAATTAATTGAAACATTTTACAATATTTTTTTTTTTTATTTTGATTATAGATTTACCAAGAATTCAGAAGAAATTTCAAAAATAATTGAAATCAAAATACTATTAATATTGCCAGAACAGATTTGGACTGCACTAGATAATAAAGATTATTTTTTAGGGGCTCAATTATTTTTATTCGCCACTCATTTACATCTTGGATTGGAAATATCATCAAATTCACAAAATTTTTTTAATAAGTATTCAGTTATAAATAAACAATGGGCGATTATAAACAATTGTAAACAAATTATTATCGATGGGGCTTGTAACGAATTAAAAATTTTAAATATACCTCTTCAAGTAATTTATTTAATTTACTTTAACAAATTGATGTGAAATTGAATTTGATTTAAAACCTTATTATTATTATTATTATTTTTTAGAAAGCTACAGAATGTTTGTGTTGTTTAATTCTCCTTGAATCTACAACATATGAAAAATTATTAAATCAATTTCTAGATCTTAGACTCGCATCTTTAAATGATATTTTAAAATCAGAGGAGCTGTCGAAAAAAAAACTTAGGCAAACAGTTGAAACACTTCAACATACTTTAATGATTGTTTATCATTGTTTCTTTGGTAATTTAAAAAAAAATTTTTTTTTTGCAACTTAATAGTCGTTTTAATAAGTTAATGATTAATTTTATTAATTTCAAGATAAATCAAGTCAAAAATGTTCAATAGAAGTCTTACTGAACACAATTCTTTCAAATCAATCGAAACCAACTCTATTCAAAATAATTCAAAAATCTTCATGGCCTGAACAATATTTATCACCGATGATAACAAATTACAGACCTAATACTTCAGAAAATTTAGTCTCACTACAACAAGAACACATAAAAAAAGTTTTAGATTTTTGGCTTGAAAATGTAGAAAAAATATTATCTGTCGAATTAAATAAAATACTTTTACTCGTCGACAATATAAAAAGGCTACACAAAATAATCAAGGAAGAAATTTTCGATGTCAAATATCCGGATAATTGGGATGAAATTACTCTTTCATTACTTGGCATAAGCAATTTAAACATTTATAATAAATTTATTAAAAGTTATATGACGAATAGAATGAAAGAATTGATTCAATCAGCTTGGTTGAACGGTTTAAATTACGTTTTGGATAATTTAAAAAAAGTAGATGAGGTTATGTCGAAAGACAAGTGAGTATCAACTTTTTATCCGGACTCATTTTTTTTTTTTTTGGTTTCTTTTAAAAAAAAATTATTTTTAGGAATAAACAGGAAAATGATATTAGATGGTTTGTATGGAAAGAAAATAAGGGGAATTTTGAAGAAGGTTTAAAATTAAAAACAATGGGTTACACTCCTAAAGTTATGGAATTGTGTGAAAAAATGAATCATTTTTTGATTCAATTATTAGAAGATGTTGAACTTTATGTAAATGAAAATTCTAAAATCAAGCACAAAATTAAAGAAGTAGATAATGATTCCATATTGATATTAAATTTTTTAAATTCGCATTCATTTGAAATGATTCAAAAGTAATTTTCTTTTTTCACAAATTTCGATTTAAATGTAATAACATCATTCATTCATTTTTAAAAATGTTTATTATGATATATTAGGTTTACTCATTATGTAAAAGATGGATGCAAAACACTTGGAAATGAATCAATAGACTCCAAGATAATTATCAGGGCAAGATTTCTTAGTTCTTTAACAAACGAATGTCCAGGACTTGAAAAATGTCTTAAAAGCAGTATTAGCAAAGAGGTAAATATTATTAACCTAATATTTAAAACAAAAAAGTTTATGACAGAATTTTTTTTTTTTTACATTAGGATTTCAATGAAAACGTTTCGAATAATTTATGGCAAAAAGGAAGAGGTTTATTAAATGAAACAAGTACCGAAATCTGGCACGATTGGAAAGTTTTAAAGAGTTCCAGACTAAAAACTCTTATCAAAAGTAAATTGGGACCTACTGTGTCACTGAGAAGTTTACTCAAATCCAAATTGGTAATTTCAAAAAAAAATTACACTGGATAAAATTTCCTATTTTCCTATTTTTTTTTTTAATATGATTAAATGATTACTTTGACAGTTGAGTGAAATAATAACAATAGAAGAACAAACGGAAGATGGATCGAGCGTAAAATCAGATCTCAGGATTTCATCTCAACCTAGTTTGTCTCTTCAAGAATTACTTTTTCAAATTTGTCGACAAGTTAACGCTATAGCACCACACACACTACCAAAGTAGGGAATGAGAAGATTGGATTAAATGCAGAATGCAAGTAAAAAAGATGAAGAGAACACAACTAATAGAATTTGTTTTATTTGCAGACAAGTTCATCAAGAATTAATAGATTGCATGGTAAAAGATATATTGGAACATTATCAAGAATGGACAAAATCCGAAACGATTTATCAAACTCAGGCTTGGCAAATGTTGATGGATGTAAAATTTCTCACTTTGATGTTTGTGACGAACAATAATAAAGATTTGTCTCAAGAGATTTGCGAAATTTTGGAAAAATCAATCGATCCGTTTGATTTAGACGTTCATTATTCGTATTTACAAAATAATGTGAAAAAAAGCGTTTTGAAATTACAGGTAAACATGAGGGAAAGGAGGTCGAAAACACAAAAAAAAAAAAAAAAAAAAGAAAAAGGAAATTTTTGTTTTTTTTTTTTTCTTTCTTTCCTTCCTTTTAGGGAACTTTTGGGATTTTGGTTAACATTAGCGAAAAACTTCCGGTTTTCAACGGACTGAGACTGAGTCAGAGTTCATCGGGTGTTAAACTCGAAGAACCCAATTTATTGGCAATGTCTACCACCGTGCCTTGGTTTCCATTACTTCCGGTCGCGAAAAGATCGAATTCATCACGTTCGGACGGTCTTCAAGAATCGCCCTCGTATTCTTTCAAAGAATTATCCGCGGATAAACAACCAATGGCGAGACACAAAGATAGAGAAAATAAAAAAGAATCGGTGACGAGTGATTTTTTCAAATCGGCCGGTGCGTTTTTCGACGCCATGACGGGGGGTGGATGGTCACGTGAAAATTAAAATTTTTTCTATTCTAAATAATCGTGCCTAGACAAAAAGTTCGAAAGAACAATTGGAAAAATTTTTATAAACCCCCATAGTAAATACGAAACGTTCGACCAACGGTCAACAAATGGGGAAACAACAAATTTGCAATTCAAAAATTTTTTTTTTTTTAACCGTATATGATTCGAATTGGGCCTTTTTTAAGGAGCTAAAAAAAAAAAATATATATTATTCGTATTATTTATATGTTTTGTATGTAAAATTCAATTTTTCGTTATCATTTAAATAATTTGTTGTCGTTGTTATTATTGTTATTATTATTATTATTATTATTGTAATGTACAGTTTATTTTTAAATAATCCCTAATATAATAATAATGCTATTTAAAAATTTAATATTTTTTTTTGAGTATTTTTTTTTTTTACATCATTAACAATAATTTAATATTATTCGATTGAAATTTTAAATAAAAATAAATATGGCGGATCGAATAAAGTTAAATTGAAAATGACCTAAAACGTTTTTAACGACGACTACACGAGACATAATAAAAAAAAAAAAAAATTTTTTAACGAATACGATAATAATAATAATAAAGAAATAAAATGTCAATTATTGATTATGTGTAAATCGTCATGAAAGCATTTATATATATATATTGATTTTATATTTATTAAATTATTAATTATTTTATTTTATTAAAAATAAAAATCTATTAATATACTATATATTATTACGTTATAATAAAAACAAATAAATAATTCCTTCCTTCTTTCCTTCTATTTTTAAACTTGTATTAAAAAAAATTGAAAAGTTTTATGTTTTCAAGTCAATTTATTATTTATAAAATAAAATAAAATAAAAAAAAAGAAGAAAAGAAGAAAAACGCATTTGGGCTTAACTTGTTTGGATTATAAAAAAAAAAAAAAAAAAAAAAAGAAAATTTAAGGGGAAAAATCTGGAAAAACTTTTGATGGAAAAATAAAAAATTTTCTACTTTAAAAGTCATCATGCGAAGGGATAAGAAAAAAAAAAATTTTTTCCACGCTTCCCCCTCGTCCTCCTAATAAGGGGAAAAATTAAAAATAAATTTCATTCAATTATTATTATTATTATTATTATTTTAAATAAAATTGAACAGAGAGAGAGAGAGAGAGAGAGAGAGAAATTTTCCTTGTTTTTTATAAAAACAAAAAACGGGAGACATTAATGAAAAATCGTCTGCCACGTAAACAAACGTTCGTCGTAGTTTAAAAATTTTTTTTTTTTAAATTAAATTGCGATAAAAAAATATATCGATACGATAATCTTTCATTTAAATATAACAATCGTCCCCCCGCTCGCCAGGCCCCCCAAAAAAAAAAAATTTCAATTTTAAATATTTTTTACTAAAAAGAAAGAAAAAAAAAAATTTCATTCAGAATTTTCTCGATATTTTTAATCAATTAAAAAAAGCCGGGTTTTCTTTTTTGCCCCCCCCCCCTCATGCTCCCCGTGCTCCCCGCTTTTAATTTATATTTCTATAATAGTTTTTTTTTTATTTTGAATCGTTTTGAGGCCGTTTTTTTTTTTTCAAAAGAAACCTTATTATTGGCGTTTAAATAAATCATTGTAAATAGAAATGGGCAAGACAACGCGGATATTGAAATAACACCGTGAGAGAGAGAGAGAGAGAAAGAAAGAGATAGAGATAGAGATAGAGTGAGAGGGGAAAGCTCCACGCGAAGGTTTTCTACATTACGATCACATGGGCTTATCATAGTACGCAGAGATGTCAATGACCCCGGGTTTTAAAGCTACGGCAAAAGCCGGGAGAAAATCGATGAAAAGAAAAAATTTCATACATGCGCTTTTAAGGGGTTGTTGTCGTGTAGAGGGTTGATGGCGCAAACTCTCACTTGTCACTCTCAACTCTCTCTCTCTCTCTATCTCTCTCCCTCTTTCTCTCTCTGTCTCTCACATATATTTTATTAAAATATAAATATAAAATAATAATAATAAGAATGATTTTTTTTTTTTTGATTATTCCATCATTATCGATTAAATTTTTGAATTTTTTCCCTTCCCCCCCCCCAAAAAAAAATACCCGTGATGATAATAATGATTTTAAAAACGTTTTATCAAAAATAAAACGATCGTAAATTAAATTTCTACCGCGCCGGGAAAATGAAAAAAAAAAAAAAAATCTCCAACGAATTTTTGCAACTCGAGAGCATTGACCTTTACCTCATGGGTCGCCCTTTTAATCTCTCTCTCTCTCTCTCTCTCTCTCTTTCTATATGGGCCAAGACGTTTTTTTTTTTTTTTTTTTTGCCCTGGAAAAAACTGTTTATGGCTAATTTTTAATGATTACGACGACCTACTTACTCAAGTCATAATAATAATAATAATAAAAATCCTCTTTAGTCAAAATAAAAATTTTTTCGTTCGGTTTACTGAACCGTCGTCTGAACAAAAACAAAAAAAAAAAAAATTCACGATTCATTATCATTATACCCATTATCATTATCAAATTTTTTTTTTGTTTTGTTTTGAAAAAACAAACAATTAATAAAATGGCGGCATAACTTCCGCATTTTTTTAATTTCATAAAAAAAAAATTCATTTTTTTTGTTTTTTACATTCAAACAATAAATAATCGAAGATGATAATTAAAAAAAAATCGTCGTGTAATTAGAATAACGTCGATTTTAATATTTTTGTTTTCAAACAGACGACAAAAAAAAAAAAAAACGAAAATTATTTTCCGAATGATTAATTTTTCAATTGAAATAAAAAAAAAATGAGTGCCAAATTATAATTGATAATAATTATCATCATCATCATCATCATCGTTAATTTTTCAATTCTTCTCAATTTTTACTTTATGTAATTTTTTTTTATAATAATAATATTTTATGATAAGACCTAATACAAGAGAGAGAGGGAGAGAGAGAGAGAGAGAGAGAGAGAGAGAGAGAGAGAGAGAGAGAGAGATGAAAAATAAACCTATAACATAATTTTTTATATAAAATATTTATAAATTTTCATTGAGTATTATTATTATTATTATTATTATTTCCTTTAATCAACGACTTAATTTTCCCGCCAAAGTTTACGTATATATATATATATATATATAAATCCATGTGTCTTATTTTGTATTGATTTTGGCGGGTAATTTTAATCTTGTTAATAATTAGACCACGTACCACAAATCTTATTACGTATATATATGTATCGACAAACAACGGTTAAATCAATTATTTTAAAAACATGATAACAAGATCAAGAAGGTTTAGTAGTAATAGCAGTAGTAGTAGTGGCAGTAGTAGTAGTAGTAGTAGTAGTAGTAGTGGTAGTAGTAGTATAATGACTAACGATTATCCAAAAAAAAAGGACACAAATGTCGTTAATAAATAAAAAACCGCATTTTGTTTTTTTTTTGAAATTACAATACATCGATTCACCTGTCTGTAATTACGAATAATTTTTTTGTTTTTTTCGGTTAAAAAAAATCCAGATGGCAGCTTTTTATTACCGGGCGACTTATTTACCGTCTGCTTTCCGTTTGGAAAAAAAAAAAAAAAATTCGTTAAGTTTAACAACCATGGAAAGCTTCCTGCTTTTACAAAAAAAAAAAATTACAACCGAAATAATTTTTTTTTTTTTTTTTTTTTTCGGGGGCGGAGGGAGGGAGGGGGTTTAAGACCATTGCGGTAAAATTTCAATTGAAATTTTCTTAATTTTTTAAAAAAATAAAATTTTAGTAATTTTTATTATAACCCATTCGAACAACATTCAAAACGAAAATTTGGTATTTTTAATAAATAAGAGCAGGTGCTTTGTATAAAAAAAAAAAAAAAACAAGAAGCCATAACCGAATCCTCATTTTTTCTGTCACTTAAACCCATTTTATAAAAAAAAGGTTAAATTAGTTCAGATCCGAAAAAAGTAAAAAAAAAAAAAAAAATCGAATCCCCTTTTATTAAGAAAGAAAACGATTAAAAAAAAAAATAAGTGAAGAGTGAGGAAGTAGTTTTTTTTTTGTGTGTGTGTGACAGCTGTATGAGGTCTACCTGGATCTTGGCACGCGCCTTCACCACTTCTTATAACAAAATCATGTGTGTGTGTGTGTGCACGGTTAAGGTTAGCAACAAAAGAATATTTTACCTGATACTACTACTACTACTACTACTACTACTACCCTTACAACCTCCTTTTTCTTGTTATGTGTGGGAACGCATCTTCCCTACCTTTCCTCAACATCTTTCTCGGTATCCTTTAGCCTTATTTTTTTTTTTTTTTTTTAAATTTAGAGCGTGAGAATTTAAAAAAAAATATATTTTTAAATATAAAATTTTTTCTCAGGAAATTTCATTCAATTTTATTCTCCCAAGATTTTTTTCTGGGAAATTTTTTACTTAGGTTTTTACATAAAGGAAAAATTGTATCACCCTAAAGTCCCCCTTCGAATTTTTTTTTTTTTTTTTTCTAAAAGGTTTAATTCAGAAAAGTTTAATTCAAATTTTAGGCATCGACATCAAAAGTTTTAATTCCGATTTAAAAGGAAAAAAACGACGACAGTGTTTCAACCGTGGGGAGTAAGAGAGGGCCCAACCCTTAAAAATTAAATTCATCATCCCTTGAATGTGGCCATTGGTTCTCGTTTAGGTTTTTTTATACCTTTAGAAAATGATACTTTAATTTTGGGTGTCTGATAAAAATTATTAATTATTAAATTACACTAATTATTTTAAAATTACGTGTCTTGAAAAAAAAAAAAAAGAAAAAATTTAAAGAGTTAATGGTAGCCTATTCACGATTATTTGGCGCCGGTTCATTTCAAACATTTAAAATATTTTCTTTTTTCTCCCCCCCCCCTTTTTTTTTCATTTTCTTCTTCTCCTTTTTCCTCTTTTTATATGTAAAAAAAAATTCCTGATAAAAATTTTGTGTAACACAGAATCATTTTCCACGTATAGTTTTTCTTTTTAGATCACAACAAAATATTTTAAAATTGATTATTATTATT